GAAATGGTAATTTAGCAGTCTTCCATAGTCTATCTGCTCTGTAACAGGTATGTTACATTACCTTGGCTTGGTCTTTTAAAAAGGTAATAATATTCTAATCTCTCTTCAACAAGACTGGCATTAGGACCTATGTATCAGGGTTTTTTAATACCTGGTTAATTTAGTTCCCTTAAAAGTGTTAAGCCAGTGTAAGTCTTTTATGCTTTGAATATTTTTTGAAAGATTGCTGCAGCAGAGCTGAGAAAGGAATTCAGATTTCTTGAGCATGTGGCCCATGGATATCATGCCAAGGCGACCTCTCCTTTTTTTATCTTCAGGCTTTGAAGTACAACAAGTCATGCACACAGACTGTGAGGTTCTGAATGCTGGCAGAGCTGAAAGATTTAATGCAGGTGGAAACAACCCAAAGTCTGCTCTTGTGACAATCTGGGTATGAAACCTTGAGAATCTCGAAGAAACGATCTAGCAGATCGTGACATGTGTCCCTAGCCATCTGTTCTAGGCATTTACGTGTAGCGTGAATCTCTGCATAATCTCAATGCTTACAAAATATTTCTGGGATAGGGAACTACAGTCTGCTTTTTGTAAACAGTGAAGTGAAGCAGAGGGGAGATAAATGATTTGCCCAGAGTTTGACAGAGTCTATATTTTAATTGGATAAGAGAGACAAAATAATCTCTGCAAATCTTCTCCTACTAGATACACAACTGAGTAGAATTTCTCACCCTCCTCTTCTAAAAACCAGCCAGAAACTACTGGGGAATTATAGGCACAAATAACGATTTTAATTTCATTCCCTTGGGTAATTTGCAAGTGAAAACATCACAAAACAGGTGGTTTGGAGATTGTTTGAGTTGTACAAGATTCTCCTAATGCTTGCATTACAAAATTTCACAAGGATCAATGAACATTTTGCTTCTTTTCTTAGCCAGCTGGCTAATTTGAGACATTTTACATAATCTGCCCTTTTCAGCAAATGCCAGTGAGTAAAGTTTTTGCCTCCTTATATCTGCTTCATGTGATTCTTGCTGGTAAGCTATACTAACAAGGAATTAATATTATACTGTCCAAGCTGTCTCTCTTTGCTATATCCCTCTGATATTTGCCATGCTCCATCTTGCTGCCTGCCTGGCGTCAGGGTTCTCAAAAGCTTTCAAAGGTGCCAAGGAAAAGCCTTTGAAATGTATTTGCCTCTGTTAAACAGAAAAATCAAGTGGTCTAGAACATTTTTCAGCTGCAAAGTCAGGCACTAAGCCTTTTATCAGTTAAAGACTTAATGAAAAAACATATTCAAAAAGCTGCTTCTTGCTGTATTAAATCATGTTATTATCTGTATCTAGGTTCTAGTCTATAACAAATGTTAACCAGCCAATAGAAAGCATCGTTTCTTCTGGTTGGAAAAGATAATTTAGTAAGTTTTCTTAGTCTTCCACCTGTTCAATGGCCTGCAATACATGAAAAGATGATCCTTCACAGGGTGTATTCTCTGTGACTTTTGTGTTCTGCTTTTTGCCTGGCTTTTCCTGAACAGTGAGAATGATCTCTCTCTCTCTCAGATGGCTGCTGTGCCAGTTTCATTACCTGTTCTCAGCTAATAACTAGCATCCAGCAAAGTCACACATATTCTTCAGGTATGCCTATCTCCCAGGACGAAAAATGTAATGTTATTCTCACTTTTCTGCATATTTTTCAGGTCCAGATATTCTCTGCTAAAGAGAAAAAGGTTTACAAATAATAAAAAAAATACAAATAAAAATATTTTACAAATTAAAAAAGCTTTACAAATAAAAAGAAAGGAAAAATAGATGTAGAAAATCTATCTTTTATTCTTAGAAATCTTACATAGTCATCAAGGACATTTGCCCTCATCAGGATGCTCCCTGACAAATGCAGACAAATGGAATAATGGTAAAATAAAACCACTCTCATGAGATATGTGCTGTGCATGAGGAAGCCAAAAGCTGTATGAATGAGTCTTTGACTCTGGAATGAGTCTTTAACTCTGGGTTAAAAACTTCCGTGAAGGCCCTTAATCTGGCTAAGCAAATTCCCATGGTGTTCTAAGAAGCATGTGATTCATTTTGCCAGGATTAGGCGGACTGCAAGTGTTGTATTTGTTCAAGATCATATTTGTTTCTCAGTCTCTGCCACTGATTTTAAGAAACCCAAGGAAATTATAATGTTACACCTGTATCTTCTGTACACAGTACCTATTTATTTAGCAGTATTTCTGCAACCTTCTGCTTTGAATTTATAGCACGTAGGTACTTCTGACAAATTACGGAAGTATAGGAAATTAGAGATATAATGACAGCCTTCTCCTCTTTTCTTATGATAAGAGATACCCTGTTTATATTGCTGCTTCTCCTGTGTTGTCGGTTAAGGAAAATGATACATCTGGGAAACCTGTTTCTCTGTTGCATTCTAGTGCCAAGAATCTTCAAACACGGGATGGTTTACTGGTTGCTTTAGGATGGTTTTGGGATTAGGAGTCCAATTCCTTCCATTTTGTGCTGTCTAAATCTTCTGATTCTGGGGAGATTTTTCCTGATTTACAGAAACACAAGTGAGATCAGAGCTAAAAAAAAAATCCACAGAGTTATTTAGGCATGTACTCCTAGGGAATTTATTCCTCTGTTTATATTAATTAGGTGCCTATGGCAATACTTTTAGGACTGCACAGACCAGATCTAAAAAAGGATTCCTAAGTGCAGGCATTTCATGGCTCCATATAATCAATACTGTTCATGAAAAGTACTTCATAACCCTTTATAAAAAAGCAAGCAGGCTCTTAAGACAGCAGAGAAATGTGGTTCTGCATGTAGACTGTATATTTAAATGGCTTGAAATAAGCAACAGTTTGAATAGTTAATATCTTAATTTAATTATTGATTTTAAAAAATGTATATTGGCTAATGAAAATATAGAAACTTTTAAAAAATTTTGATGTTTGTCATCCTGGAAGATGTTCACAAATGGTCACAAACTGAGATAAAGGTTCCGTAGCATACACTTGTACAATATTGATCAGATTTCAGACTTCAGTTGATCTCTTTCTTCACACTTTCTGGAAAAGCTGAAATGGTTTAATAATTCCACCTAGATTGGAGGTAGGCAAAATTTGCAAGGGAAGAGAATATACTTATTCGACTAGCTGGTAATGGTGGAAAAAATTGACAAGCTTCCAAGCACACAATGCCTTCAGTGAGGTTCCTTCAGAAGAAAGAGCTTTGAGATGGTTCCTGAAAAAGCCTTCAGCTGGACTTCCAGGCTTTCTGCTGTAAGGGTAGTTGTCATGTCAATGGCCAGCATCACGCCTGGACATTGACAGGCCTCCAGAGTGATGGGCCTGAGCTTGGGTTAGCGTTTGGGGCTGATAATACACAACTGTCACAAGAAGAACTAGGTGTTTGCAGAGCAGGAGTGGCAGAAGTGGAGGAAGAGGGGGACAAGTAGGGGTGTGATGCTGTGACACAGACACCCAAAGGAGAAAAAGCCATAGGAGAGTCACTGTCAGGAAGAACGGTCCAAGGGGAAAGGCCTGTCTGGAGCTATCTGGGGTAACGGACGAGTCCTAAAGTATTAAGGTGATGGCCACATTTATGTGTCTGAGGAACAAGGCTACTGATATCTTACTGTGTGTTGGTGTCTGTATGTTTATGAAGTAGATGAAATACAAAATAACAGCATGTTGGTCTTTTTTCCCCTGTGGGAGGTAAAAACCACAGAGACACCATGGATTGTGCATTGGATAAGATCCTGTTACTCTGCTCCTACCTGGGATCAGGGCTGTGATAGCATCTTAATACTTGGTGCTCCACTGTATACAACTGAGAAAAGTGATACTGACTTACTGTGTACCCACTCATTGTAAACAGAATCACAACCCACACCGTGATTGCTACACAATGTGTTCATAACCATTCAGCAAAAGCAATAAAAGGTCTCTCATCAGGACCTTCTCTACCCCAGGAATAGTCTAATTTAAAAACCACTAGCTGTAGCACCCTCATATTTGACAGTAAATAGGAGACTTGCTGTGAATAACCATCAGTGGCCAAAAGCAAATAAAACAAAATTAATTATCTTCTTCAGCCACAGAATCACAGAATGGCTGAGTGTGGTGGTTTGGGTTGAAGTTCCTGTCAGCTTATTTCCCCGGGTCACTCTGAATGGCAGCATGACCTTCTGGCATACCAGACACTCCTCCCAGTTTTGTGTCATCAATAAACTTGCTGAAGGTACACTGTGCCCCATCATCCAGATCATTAATAAAAATGCTAAGCAGGACTGGACCCAGTGTTGACCCCTGTGGTACAACACTATAGTTACTGGCCTTCAACTAGATCTTGTGCCACTGATCACTACCCTTTGGGCCTGGCCTTTCATCGTTTTCAATCTACCTTAATCACTGTAGATAAGGAAAAGTTAGCTTAAGAGAGCATGCAATGACACAAGTTTGGCTCTGTTGAAAGCAATAAGCAAGGTTCTTCACACCCTCAACCTGTGGCCTTGTTTAGCCAAACTATAATGAGGATGTTCAAACAGCCTAGGTGACAACACCAACACAATTACCATGCCAGCATCAGACAGGATGGCTTTTTCTGCTCTCTACTATGATTTCTTCATTTATTTTTTCCGTACTCACCATCTGCTCCAAGTATTCATGTCAGGTACTGAATCAGTGAAGAGGAGTAAAAAATGGAGGAACTAAAATTTAAGCCACAGAACCTTTTTCTTATTATCATGGGTGGAGAACAAAGAAGGCATCCAGTTTCCACCCTGTGTTCTCAGTACCCAGATCGCATTTATTGGAACATGTGGGTATTTCTACAAAGTTTAGAAACACTTCACTTGTACAGTTTAGAGCCATTTGACACAGCCTACCTTCCCTGAAGCAGCCTTCTTCTCAGACTTATTTCTAAAATCAATTTCTGATGTATTTTTTTCCCATTCTTGGGTACAGAAAGTAGCACTCATTGTAAGAAGGGGACACTTACTCAGTATTGTTTGTATCGATTGCATGAAAAAGTTCATGCAGTTCTTCTCCACTCAGAACTCCATCAGCAAAGTAAGCTTTGAATTCATCAAAGGACAGTTTTCCATCATCTGAAACATCAAAGAAATGGAAAGTGCTTTAGTTACATTTATGGTTTTGCTTGTTTACTTCATGAAGTAGAAGAGTAATTTATTAAAAAACCCTAGATATTCAGATTAAGTGTAGAGACTTTACATATTTCATGAAGACACATAAAGAACATGATGTTAAATGCATCAGCTGTTGTATCTGAGTCCTCAGTTTGCCTGGTAACTGTTATTCTTCCTTCTCATCTGTCAAAGAAAGTAAGTTGGTTTTGGTAAGTCTCTACTGACAAATACATCGATACAATCCTGTCTTTTCCTTGATCTCGTTCACTGCAACTTCTCTTTGTCATGCCCCATGTTTCACCTACTTGCTGCCTGCCAGTGTCCTCACCTCTACATGGTAGATCAGTGACCTTGTAAGACTAAGTGGGACAGAGAAAATACAGGGAAATGCAAAAGCAAACACTTGTTGAAGGAACATGCTAGTTCAATGAAAATTTCTTCAGCTACCTATAGCTATCTATTTATTTCCCTTTCCTTTTCCTCCTCTTTCTTTCCTCTGCTCCCTGCCTCCTACATGGGAGACTGCAATTCAAGTGCACAAATCAATAGCAGAAGGGATCTGACCCTGGTACTCTTCTCTACCTTAGGACACTAATCAATACACTGCACCAATTTGCAGCATTCTGATACTCCCTTTCTTCATAAAATACATCGGTCTCAAAAAGCTCTATGCCTAGTGTGGAATTAACAAAATAAATTAAGAAAAGTTTGACTTTAATGGAATAGGAAGCTAGCTTTGTGCCCTTTTCCACTAGAAAAAAATTCAGCTCATTTTCTTAGTCAGCATAGAAAATAATACATTTTGATTTTCCAGCATGTAATTTGTATGGAGATTACACCAAAATTTAGGAATGAGAAAACTGTTTTGAACATATATCAGAGGTCAGTCAAAATCATCACATGGAGTTAGTTTGATTTGGTCATGTAATATAGAGTGAAGCCTAACCATGAAGCAGCTAACTTTTTATTTTCTAGGTATCTGGTGTTATGATTTGTTTGGGACAAAAGCAGTCATCACCGCATGGGTCCTGATCATCCTCAATAACATGTTCATGTAATTAGGAAGTATCTACAGGACTAATGGGACTCAGAGAGAGGGGAAATACCATTTGATAACATTTAGAAGAACAGGAATGGGATATATATAAATTCAAGAGGAGAAAGTCCTTATTGCAATCTCTACTACATTATTTAGTGGAGTCTGTTTCATCTTTTTCTTAATCTAGCTCTAACTATAGCAAACCCTCGACTACAAGAGGCAAAATCCTTGAGCTGAGGTGTCTTAAGCAGAGATTAATTCATCTGGTATTTTCAGCATGTTATCACTTCAGATTGAGGCTCTACCGTCCCTTTGTCAGATCAAACCCTGCACAACCCTAAATGCTTTGGCATTCTGTCCTAAAGAATAAGAGTCCTCCTTTCTTTGCTGTACAGGCATGAATTCAGAAGAAGTGCATGGGTTAGGATGAGGCAAATCCACAACTCCATTAAAACAGTTATGGCAATTTGTTCCTCATTGACTAGTGTGTCTGAATGAATTTTAAATGCAAGATTGATAATTGGCAAACAAAAGCCAAAGGAAGAAGATCCACTTTTTACTTAGAAGAAGTTGGAATGGTGAAGTAATAATTTATTTAAAGTGATTGAGCATTTGCATGAAGCATTGAGAGTATTTTCAGAGCCTAACACTTTGTGACTCTGTTTTGGGAAGCACTAAATTTAAGGCTCTTTCCCTTCTTTCGGTAATGTACTGAATCACTCATAGGGCACTAAACAACTGTAGAGGATTTAGACTATGATGCCTTAAGCACCAGACAAATCTAAAACATATTGTGGTCTACTTTTACAGTGGTGAAGAACCTATTATAAAGACAGTATCTGAATCCTGTAACTACATGCCATACTACAGCATACAGATTTGAAGAGCAGAGCTGAGAAGTTTCCTCACTCATTCTTACTCTCATTACATTATTTCTTTGACTTGAATATGAGGCTTCAAATATGTTATCTTCAAGAGTTTTCAAAATTGGACAAATTGAATGTCTGCTTCAACAAAAACATTTAGAAATGTTTAATATGAAAAGACAGATTGTAGCTGGAGATAATCATCATTACAATCAAAATAAAATGTCAGGATCTACAAGAGCTAAAAAGCAAGATGGCACAATACTGTGTTGAAGGAAGGCAATTTTCTTTTAGTGAACTGCCATGATTACCTAATTGAGAATCTAAATACATCTGCCATTTGGCACTGGTTACAAAGAAGGAATATCAAATATCAAACGTGTTGAAACAAGCTTATTTTTATGGCTATGCTTTCTTTGCCTCATACAGATACAATCAATTGTTTAATCAAATGGCAGCTTTAGCCTTGCAGGGAAGGGTGATTTGCATGCAAGTTATACACAGACTCAAGAAACTAGTGATTTTTGGCAACTTATTCTGAGATAAATGTATTATGAGTTTACTCACAGAACAGTCTGGGTATGACACAAAACCTGAAACATCTGTCTGTTTATCTCTGTTCTTCAGGATCATTGGCTGTATATCAATCCAGAAAACCAATGATCTGCCAAAAGCCAGATTGGGCACTTTAGCTGTTTTCTTTAAATTTTATCATCCAAAAGCAGACATTGCCTTTTTGCTTCATTGCTATTTATTCTCAGTAACATTTTGAATGTTATTGATACTGACTGACACATGGCTGAGCTTGTGGCTGGCAAGACCCATGGAGATTTGAACCTATTCAAGCTACTTACAGACTTCATACAGTTATGTTTACTGAAAAGAAGTCTGATTCTCCAGGGCATTTCTGTGATTTTGTATGAGTGTAACTGCTTTGCTAGTGCAGCTGGGGACTCAGCCACCGGTGGTCCAGGCCACCCCTGCACTTCCTCAGGGCTCAGATGAAGCTCAGATCCAACCTCTAAGAAGTGCTCCTTGTGCTGTTTCATTGAAGAAACCTTTGCCTAGCCAAGGTTTCCTCAAGCGTCAAGAATAGCTTTTATTTTAAAGGCTGCATTACATATCTGCAGCACTGCCTCCCTGGGGCACACCTCGCTGCCCTTGGAGCACCCAGGTAAATACTGTCTGGCTTAAGTGCTTCAGAGCAGGTGAGCAGAAACCTCTATTATAGGTGCTTCAGTCCTTGTCACTGGCAAAGCAACATGGGTTGGATGATTCATGAAAGACAAATTTCTCTGAAGCCATGCGTCCCTCAGACACATCAACCTTCAGCAGCGTTTGCCTTGGCAACGTTATCTCAAAGAAGCTGTTTTGCAAGCCTTGCTTGCTTTTCTGTATCTTCTCTGATGTCTTTCAAAAGCAGGGTTTCTTCAAAAACAGGCACAGTTGCCCATCCTCCTTGGAGCAAAAATGCTTCTGACTGGCAGACAAAAATATGAATGATAAAATGAATCTCCCCATATAGCACTTGCAAGTTTAGAAATATATTTACCTGGTGTTTTAAAGGAGCCTTCCTTTGGGTTACAATTGCATTCTTGCATTTACAGAATCACTGAATGTTAGGGATTGGAAGG